AGAATAGAATATTTAGAATATCTAGAATTTAGAATTAAGAATATTTAGAATTTAGAATTAAGAATATTATTAAACAGAAGAATAGAATATTTAGAATATCTAAAATTTAGAATTAAGAATATTTAAAATATTTAGAATCAAATAGAAGAATAGAATATTCAGAATATCTAGAACTTACAATTAAGAATATTTAGAATATTTAGAATCAAATAGAAGAATAGAATATTTAGAATATCTAGAACTTAGAATTAAGAATATTTAGAATATTTAGAATTAAATTAATAAATATTTAGAATTATTACCAATATTTAGAATTATTACCAATATTTAGAATATTACCAATATTTAGAATTAATAGCAATATCCGAATATTTAGAATCAAAAGAGGAATATAAAAACGATATTGCCCTGTCAAATGAAATTGACGGAAAACTTTGGAAGAAGCCTCGACAACAGTGTGATTAAAGTAACAATGTCGTAAATATTATTTCAGTGATCGAATATGTCGGCCCGAAATACCGAACATTGGTAGCGAACATGTCGTTTGGACTTTATTTCGCGGCAGCCGCGAGCCTTTTGCCTTGGATCGCATATTGGATCTCAAACTGGAGGATCCTGAGCATGGTTACCGCGTGTCCTATGGTGGTCGCGTTCATAACACCATGGATCGTTCCCGAAAGTGCACGGTAATTTAATTCATATCTTCCTTCGAATCGAAGAAATTCTTTTAGGTAAATTAGTATGCGATATGTTCCCTGTTTTTCTCGTTTCTATTTTACAATGATGTTTCTCCTTGAAATATCAAGAATCCTATCGAAATTACCCGAGCACTAAATTAGACAAATTTCATCCAAGAATATATCCGAAAATTCTGCCAGATCGATTCTTCGTTCTCACAAATAGAAGGACATCTCAACGTCTTTTTCTTAACGAGACACTGCAGTTTTTCCTGTGCTACGTAAATGATTGATCACAAGTTCGACAACCTTCGATATGCTTACAAAGCACTACATAAAGATGTACAAAAGAATTTATCGTTGCGGCGATTAAACGTTAATCGAGATGATGATTTTGAAGTGTCGACCTTTAACATGAGTTTTTGTAAACATTCTCATTTATTCTCTATAGTTGGTACATAACTAGTGGCAAGATCGACAAGGCGATTGAAATGCTGAAGAAATTCGCTAAAGTAAATGGTAAAGAGGTGAGGCAGGAAATATTCGATGAATTTGAGAAAAGTTGCAAGTCGTTGACGGAGAAGGATCATCTGCACAATCAGTACACTGTGCTTCATCTCTTCAAGCTGCCACGCCTCGCTCGCATCACTATCATGCTCATCGTTTACTGGTGAGTTAACTTTTTTATTATTAGCTTGACTGGACAGACTGAAGAGTAAACTCTTGACAATAATTATATTTAATATTGAAACATTCCGTAGAAATGGAATGTTTCAACCTTGTAATTTTATGTTTATGATACATTACAAATAAGAAAAACAAATTAAGCAATAATATATATAAGCATGAATTAAAAAATAAATGTGAAGCAGTGAAATTTCTTATTTTTCATACTTCTCCGTTTCACAGAATAGAATTCAAGGATAAATGTAGCAATAGAAATTTTTTATTCCACAATCTCAAATTTTCTACTTTCCAAAATAGAATTGGTAAATTCATTATTAATAGAATTAACAAAGATATAATCTGTAATTATACTTATGACTTTATAATTTACGACAGTCCACTGTTATCACACTGTTATATCACCCGAGACCATCGATCAATCTCATACTATTATAGTACTTGCCTATCTCTGTAAAATCAGAATTAAAGTAGACACGAATTACCATGAGATAGACATAAATTACAAGGGTGAAGATACATGGAGCATTTCATGTGGTTTAAGAAACTCGCTTGAGTGTATAATTAACATTGAGAAGTCCCGGCACGCCAAGGATTAATAAACGACGTGGAAACCCAGTGTGTGATTTATCCATAACTCGACTGATTTTCTTTCCAGGTTAATGATGGTGTGGGTGTTCGACGGCCACGTTTGGAACATGAAACTTCTGGACCCTGACATTTTCATGTCGTTCTCCTTAGCATCCCTTACGGAACTTCCGGCGGCCATATTGCTCGCCCTCTTCCTCGACAGATGGGGCAGGCGATGGATGGGTTTCGCATCGATGTTGCTCTGCGCCGTTTTCTCCTTTGTTGCCATCTCCACTCCCGCTGGTAACGCTTCTTTTTCCCTTCCGTTTCACCGTTTATATTTTTTTCTTTCTTTGATCAATGGCTTGCCAATCGAAATTGTTCTATAAAATACGAGGAACGAGTTAATATCAGTTCTTTACTAATAGTTAGTGTTACTTTTCTCTCCTCCTTTCTTCTTTTTTTTTTTCTTTTTTTCTTTCTTTGATCGATGACTTGTTAATCGAAATTATTCTAATGTTGGTATTAGTTCTTTTATTTGTATAATTAGTTAATATCAGCTTCCTTTCTTCTTTTCTATTCTATCTTCTGCTCTGATCGATGGCTTTCTTGCTTCAGTCGAAATTATTCTGTAAAAATAATTGTTGAATGTCGGGGAGTATTAATGTTAGGAAGAAAAATTCGGTTTTATCGATTGACGTCGTTAAAAAAAAAAAAAAAAAACAAATGGTCGTGAAAGTTCCGAATGAAAGTTTGGAAGATTGAGAAATGGAAGCTCGTGTTTTACGAAAGAATAATATTTTCGTTGAATGAAGAAGATAGACGATGATAAGAAGATAAACGATGGTGTTCGATGCTCGTGTTTGTACAAATGTGTGTATTGTGAAGATAAATTGAAATATAAATTTAGGTCTTTAATTTCTATTCAACTAACATTATAATATATTTTACAAAGTACGAAATAAATTTAGGTCTTTAATTTCTATTCAACTAATATTATAATATATTTTACAAAGTACGAAAAATGGCCAATTGGTAAATTTTGAAAATTTGAGTCATTCTTCATTGTCGATAATTCGCAGTAATACAACTTTTCATTGTCATTGATACAATTATTAAGTTGAAATATAAATTTAGGTCTTTAATTTCTATTCAACTGATATTACAATAAATTTTGAAAATTTGAGTAATTCTTCATTGTCGATAATTCGCAGTAATACAACTTTTCATTGTCATTGATACAATTATACTCCTTACTCATCAATAAAAGGTATACGTATTTTTCAGTTGGTCATTTCAATTATATCGATAAATCCGGTGTTAATTGAGCAAATCACAAATTGACGAATCAGTTAATGCGCCGTTCGTGGCATTTACATATTTTTCTCAACCTGTTCAAGGTCCGACAACAGTCGCCATGGCGATTATAGCGCGTCTTGGAGTGAATATCGCCGCGAATATCGGTTTCCAATATGCAGCGGAAATGCTGCCGACTGTGGTGCGAGCTCAGGGTGTGTCTTTGATTCATATCATCGGCTACGTTGCTCATATTTTGGGACCGTATATTATCTATCTGGTGAGTGAAACTTCTCTGAATATTTTCAATATTTCAATAATCAACTCGGCTTCTTTCCCAATTCCGTAATTAATATTCTCCGTTAATGAGACGTTATTTGAATTTCTTCCAATATGAGAACGAGTCGGATTTCTCACTGATAATAGAACTTTAAATTATGAAAAGCCAAGATAGATTCTTTTTATTCTTGTTCTTTCGTGTTTAATAAAATTCAGACTTGTAGTTGAAAGGGATTTGATCTTCTGGAATTGATTTGTCTTGAAGGCAACATAAATGAAAAGAGGTGTTTCAATTTAGGCGGATGTTGATCCAGCTTTACCCCTTATTACTCTCGGCTTGCTGTCTTTTGTACACGCTTTTCTGACGCTTGGTTTACCGGAAACTCTGGACCAAGAACTGCCGGAAACCTTGCAAGAAGGTAACGACTTTGGCAAGGAACAAAGTTTCTGGTGGATCCCGTGCATATCCTCGTAAGTACAAATTGTTCTGTCCAGCAATAAATATAGAACTCCAATTTTTAAGAAATCCAAACGTAACAGTTTGAAACAGTCAAAGAGTCAAAATTAATGCTCATGAAAATTAAAACTAATAACATTGTAAATTTCGAATAAC